GTTTCCAACCATCCTTTAAAAAACAGGATTGTTACATATTTAGAAGGATTGCTCCATGCTCTGTGTTGAGATGATTAGAGTTAGGGTTGTCCGTATTTCCTATGGAATATGAAAATATAAAAAAAACATATTATTTTTGTTAACAAGAAAATAATTCAATGTGGAAGACTCCTATCAGCTTCACCTTTACCACCTGCAATATCCCTAGCTTAAGCTTAAGCCACTCAATGCCTGGACTGCACCTCCTCCAAAGCCAATCATCTTTCAAGATCCCCTTAATCTAGCACTTGGCCTAGCCTTCGTCTAGCACATTAGTGACATCAGTTGTCATGCACTTTGTTTAGGCTTTTTTTTATCTGATGTGCACTCTCAGTTCCTCATTTGTGAGCATCCAGCTTGCAATGATCCCCTGGCTTTGGTTCGTACCCACCCCAACAGGCCCACCCAGGTCTTCTCTCAAGCCCACTTTTAGTCCCTCATGCACCTGATTCAGCTGGCATTGCATTCTTTGTGACACCTGAGGATTTGTCCAATGCTAACCAGCAACTATCCATCTCCTTTCCCCCTTAACCACTCAACCCGTCCCAAGTCTTTACTCACTAGCAGGGGTTATGGCTCTGCCACACCTTTGCTCCTTTCGCCTTCTGCACAAGCCTCTGTATCTTTCAAAGTCTTACACATTGTCCCCATTCCTTGCTTCAGCCCTTTCTTCTCTGTCAGGAACAGCATAAATGATCATGTACGTGCATTTTCAGCCTATGGCTTCACAGCGTTAATTAATTCCTCTGATCCTGCTTTCCAGGGCTAAAAAAAGTTATCTAATTGGTTTCAGATCATAGCTTGTGCTGTTGAAGGTTCTCAGTCATCCAGGTCATAGTCATTCCAAAAAAGGCCAAAAAACAACCCACTGGACCTTGTTTTCCAAGTTTGAAGATGTTTCACTTCCAATCCAGGAAGCTTTTTTCAATTGTAAATGTTTGAAATTAGTGTAGCCCAGTGAACCAGAAGAACAGGCCTGCCCCTTGATAATGGGGATTTGTTGAGTTCTTTGTAAGCCTGAGATACCCAATACTGGTCTATGCCTCTGAGAAGGCATTGTTGGCCTGGCTGACCAGGCGAGATGTCTTAGTCCCCTAGCTGTTTTTTAAACTTCTTTGGAACTAATCATAGTTTGTTAAAAAAAAATGCATTTGTGCATTGAGTCACGTAAAGTGAGTCAAAAATCAACACACAAATGCAGCAAGTTCAAAGACCACTGCTAGTTTATAAATCAAGATATAATTATGTACACATCACAAATACTTTAGTGAATCTTGTCTTGTGAAAACGTAAATTTTATGTGCCTGAATCATTATGCACATATGTGGATCTTATCATGTGTCTGAGTGGATCTTGTCCTGTGCATGTGTGGATCTTATCCCGTGCATGGGTGGATCTTATCCTGTGCATGTGTTGATCTTGGTCTGTGCATGTGTGGATCTTATCCTGTGCATGTTTGAGCAAAATACCAACTAAAATGGTCAAAATTAAACAAACGGCTTAGTGATGCAGAACTAATGTGCAGATGTTCATCAAACAGGTAAACATTTTGTACACACACATACACCTACCAAAAAATTAAACTGCAATCTTGTTTGAGCTTGTTTTTATGTAGCAAGTGCAGTTTTGTGTTTGCTCACAAATAGGCATACCTTAACATTAGTAATCAATCAAGTGAGCTTAGTGATGAGTTTCCAAAGAATTTAAACAGAGCCTGTGTGGTTTATTGAATTCAGATAGGAGATATCAGAGTTAGACAAAATCAGTCTACTATCTCTGCCACCAAGCATTTTCTCCAGGTCTGACAGCCTGAAAGTATAAATATAGGAAAATATATAACACTGTCATGATTTTGGGACTGATGCTTAGTCTGATTACTCATTTCACACACCTGCTTAGCTCCACCAAGTTCACGTTACCATACAAATCTGATCCACCTGCATTAGTCCCTATATAACCAGCCTTTAGACCAGTCATCATTGCCAGATTATTTTGAGCCATTGATTTTGAGCCATTGATGATGTTGGTGAGACTTATTCTAGCCTCTGAGCCTGATGTAAAAGTTCTGAGGGTCCAAAATCAAATTTCAACAGTGAGGATATGAAAAGAAATACACTTGAAAATGTATGGGAATGCTATTTATTATGTGGTTAAGCTGAAGATCACTATTAAAGCAACCTGGACTTATTTAGCCCCTTAACTGAGCCACAGATTAATCAAATCAATAACCCCCTACAGTGATGCATTAACTCAAGAAAAGATAACTGACACACCTTTTTTTTTAAAACATTTTAATTTTATCTGTCCTTTTCACCATTCTAAATTTCTGAGAAACTAAACCTTGTCACATAAAAGCAAAAACATTGGTTATGAAAACAATTCACTGAGTAATACCTCAGTGAATTTTAATACCTGCCAATAACAAATATATTTCTTAAAATGACCCGTGCATCACTTACTGCCATATGAACACAGATGTAAGTAAAGATCAGTTATCCACATAATGCAAGATTGTTCTAGAAGAAACCCTTATGCCAATGAGACAGGTAAGTTGATACAGATGGCCTCATTCCAGTCCCATCCTCCAGCCTCTCTTCGCTGTCTGTGAATCATTTCCACAGTGGTCTCACCAGAAGAGGAGTTTTAACAGCTTGCTTTCAGTGGAACATGTAGGTGAAGAAGAAACTCTACAGAGCTGTTCTAATTTTACAAGCACTGCAAAAACTTACAGTGATGGCTAAGACACTTCATTAATTCAGAATCTAAAATCATATTGCATAACAAATAATGTGAACCAATATTACAATGGTTAAAGATAAAGATGCAACTGCAATGGCTGTTAATATGTTCATAGTTTGGCAACAAATACATAGTAATAACAGGATCATTTGAATTTTTCGGTCCTCCTTGGGTCAAGGCTATCGCTTGGTCATTACTTTTTCATGAGGGTGGTATTCTTTTAAAGACAAATGTACAAGGTGCTTCTGCATTTGTCTTTCATTTCTCCCGCAGTATAAAGCACAAGATATTGTTCCTGTCCTTTTAAAACAGATGGAAAAATTGTTTTAAATCACAATTCACTGTTAATACACATTTATTTTCAGTATATATGAATTTGCTCACTTTCTATGTCACAGGGAACAAAAAATAAATCCCAGTTTGTTCTAAAATTAAGGGAATAAAATGTACAAAATGTCTTGGGGATCTACAATAAAAGTAGTCCTAAAAAAGGTCTTTGGTTCGACTTTATGTGGCTAAAGGCAGCAGGTGCAATATGAGGAGAGAGGTGTGTCACCAGGACACCGTGGTGTAGACTTACTTTCTCGTTAGGTACATGTGTGACATGAGGTCATTGAAAAGGCTGCATATTCATTACTTCAGATGGATTTGCATTAATAATTAAATGGTAAAAAGGTTTAAGATTATGGCTTGCCTTTGTCTAAAAAATAAAATGGTTTAATAAAAAAAACACGCACCAAAGAAATGCTACAAATCTATAATAACTTTATAGTATGGATTACAGCCCAGTTAATTTAATTGACAGCTGCTATAATGTGCTATATAATAAATGCTGTTTTCCCTTATTTTTAGTTCATCTTTTGTCTCGCCAAGCAAAAAAATATTCCCTCTAAAGTCTTTTGCATCAGTAGGGCTTTTTTTGTTAGTTGTTAACAAGACTGGCTTTTTATCTGCCTTTGTTTTGCAGTGGTTTTCAGCTGCATCGTATGCATTCTCTTTAACCAATTGCTAAATAATATCTGTCCAAGTTTACATCCATTATGGACAACAACCTTCACCCCTTGTACCAGACTGTAGAGGAGCTTAGCAGCTGTAAAAGAACTTTACACCCTGTTTATAAAAAGGAGCGCTACCACAGGTCATTCATCCCTGCTTCCACCAGACTCTACAATGCAACACTACAAAGGCTATAACTTGTGCAATGTATAATGTGCAATTAATACCCTGTGCATTAACCTGTGTCTTTATATTTGATACCCAGTGGAATAGCTATATAGATAAATACCCATCTATATAAATATGCTGTGCAATAACCCCGTATAATAAGACTGCCTTTAAAAAAGACCTTAGCTGCCTCATTCATATATATATATATATATATATATATATGAATGAGGCAGCTAAAGTCTTTTCTTTCTTTGCTACCTACTTCTTTTTGACTATTTGAGCCCATGTAACAAGTACATTTCTCCACTGTGAGATAAATACAATTAATCAATCAATAATGACCACTTACCCTGATAGAAGCAAGTGAAATCTGTGGCTCTTTTTGGATGTTGTTGGTTATATTCATACCTGATGTTTACGATAGAGTGGCAAAAAGAATGCTATACATGGGTTATCCTGTTTTCAGTTTAGCAGAAGCTGCACAGGATTACTGCTTTGTGTGCCATCAGGTGCCGCAGAAGCATTTCATTCACCCATCAAGTTGAGTAATGACTAGGGTAGCATGGAGACACCTAAGGCATGCAGAGAAGGAGTATGAACCATTGATATAATGGACACAGTAAACATGTGGAAGAACTTGTTCTGGTTACATGGAACCAAATTCAACATTATGGCATAGGCCTACCAGCTAAAAGCTACACTGAATTTATAATCCACAATAAAACATGTTGTTCACATCATCCTGTTGTGAAAAAACTTACTATTCCAAGTTACTAATAGGTGGTTGGTGTAACTTAATAGAGGGCACTTTGAACTCCCACAGTTCTACACCAAAAGCTCCACTAAACCGAATATTTGCAATAAATTCAGACTGTATGCTTCTGTTGATGATCAATGACAAGCAGGTAGCTGTGGACATCTACTGCACCACAGCGCATATCCGACTCATACAGGAGAGAAAGAGGTGTATGAGGAAGAGGCGGAGTGCTCGCTCTCTGATCAAAGATCTCTTCGGCTGTTCAGCATCGCCGTGACGATAAACAGTGAGCGGACAAAGATGCTCTGTAGTCTGGTGCGCACGCCTCTGTCTCCAGCTCTCCACCTTCACCATGGAGGAGCCTAATTAAATGCACACACTCGATGTGCGCGTCTCTGCTGCTCCGGATGGGGGGTGCCGATTCTTTTTTTATTATTATTATTTCTATTTTAGGATTTTCAAGCGTTTCCAACCCTGTTTGAACCCCGAGCGGAGAGGACCGCGGGAGATTTGTGAAGTCTTCAATTAATAAGGTACTGCTGAAGTTAGCCTCTTTAGCATGTCTGCGTTCTTTATGTTGGTTATAATTAGAGGACAGTTTCATCGTTCATGATCCAGAGGTTTATCAGGAATTCATGCGCCTGCAGCCGCACTGATACACTGATCGGGCTCGTTGCATCAAGGTTGCCAGCTGTTTTTTTGGAGACCATCTGACGGATGCGTTGCTCCGTTTTTTTTTTTTTTTTTGTCATTATGGGCGCCCTGAAGTCCGCCTGTTATTTCCTATGGTTTTTAAACTAGGGGGTTTATCTGTGCCATGTCTTACCTTGGTGTAAGGTCCAAGGAGAGTCATAAGGACGCTCTGTGATGTGTTAGTTTGTCACGAATCGCTCATGGAAATGTCAGAGCTCATTTCCATCATCTCTGTGCAGCATTGGAATAAAAACCCTCGTTAAACAAACAGAAAGATAAAACGCATTTTCACTCCGGTGTCTGGACGCGGCTGCGTGTGCAGAAAACGCAGATCTAAGTGCTTTATGTTGCAGCCATGCTCTGCAGCTGTCCGACAGTCATATCGCATTTATTTTTTATTTTTTTTGGCAATAAGAAGATTAATTCTTCTCGGAGCATCTCTGCAATGTGACCTTTTCGGTTTCTTCCTCTGCGGGGCCTGCTCGCAGTTCAAGGACTTATACAACTGATGGCACCGAGTGATGCCTGAGAGTGGCAGCTTTCAGTTTTTACACGCTTTGTTTATTTGTTTGTGTTGTCACTGCATTAAAGCAGCTTCGGCTCTTTTTTTTCTCCCCCACAACCACGGCCAGGCTCAGAGAGAGAAGCCAAAACCAATCTGCCATATTGGTTGTAGTTCTGAGGGATGTATCCTCTGTTTGTCCGCTTAAATGACAGAAGATAAAACTGATGTATTTCACATTAAGGTTCAATTATGCAATCATTCCCATCTGCAGTATTTGTGGAAACACAGGTTGTTGTTTTTTTTTTATCTTTTCATTCGTCCTCATAGTTTGACTCTGCAATATATGACCTTATTTTTATTTGCTTAGACATAATCTAATTTCATATAAGCATAATCAGATATTTTCTTTGTAGGAGAGCCAATATGGTGTGGTAATATGTGAACCTGCTTTTGTCTTCAGGCCAATTTGGACCATAATGACCTGTTGAGTAGACTTTCAGCTCAGCTAGAACATTTAATACTGTATATACATTAAATTGTTTGGAAGTACTCCCCCATCCAAAAAAAAAAAAAAAAAAGCATGCACTAACCAGACATAATTTACTGAACCATGTGGTAACCTTACTGCCTTCTTGATTGTGATGCATGAAGCAACATAAACAGTATCCTATGCAATACGCATACTGGCACCTTTTCATAAGTACCAGGACAAACCTCTTAAGCAGTTTGGGCTGCAGTAGCAGTTGCTACATTGACCAGATTTAAATTCCATTATGCATCAATCAGCTTGGTGCAAGTTTAGCCCATTTCTTCATTGGAAGAAATGGGGATAAACAGGAAGGAATTGACCAGGAAACCTGATCAAGAGCTGCTAGGTCGGAGATATTCTGACCTTCTGGTTCATCTGTCACATACCTCCTCAAATCCTTTCAGTTGAACGATTTCTCCTACTTCCCACCCCCACATACCGGTGAAGAGATTTGTCTCATGATAGTGAGGTGACCTTGGGTGGAACCTGAGCTTTTAACAGATTTTTAACCAGTTTTTGTTGTACATCAGAAAATTATGTTTGATAGATGAATACGTTTTTGGGTGTCTAAGTGTGAAATGAATGCACAATATTTGTGTGTTTCAACAAAAATTAACTCAAACCAAGGGCAACATTTCCTTCCATTATAAAAATGTAAAAACATTATTTCAACCTGAAAGGTGAACAGCCGTCAACTGAAGCACACGCTGTTCTGATAGGGTGGCACACTCAGAAAGCCCTTTCTTCTGCCTCCAATTAAACAATCAAACCTACAATAGGTTAAAGCAAAGTATTTTAGACTTTAAAGATTTGAGATTTATTAAATATCCCTTAAATTTAGCACTTAATCTTAGTATTAGTTTGGATTAAATTACAGAGATAATAGCTTCAAAATAATTGATTTTTAGTCAAATTTGGTCCAAATAGTGACAATTGAAATCAAATTCAGTTCATTCTGAAATATTTTAATTGATCTCCAAAGGGAGAAAAAATTTGTTGCCACTCAAAGTTGTTTTTTTGAGACCATTGAAGCACATCTGAAGAAGCCTTTGACTGAAGACACTATGTTGTAGTTTTGCAGTTTTCTGAAGAGGATAATCACTGTTGTGTAATGTTTTTCATTTTATGAAGAATTTTTATTTGTGAGATCATCTCTACAGGTTCTAGTGGAGCTTCTAGAACAGAACCTTCTTTATCAACATGTTGAGCTTTTTTTTTAGTCATTTGCTCTGATGCTGTTGCCCCAGCAGATGATAATAGAAGAGATCACAATCTCTACATCAGACTGATAGAAGATATGTAACATCTTGCTGCAAACACTGAAGGACCTACAGTAAGCTTCCTTAAGAAGAACTGTTTGTTCTGCCCCTTTTTTATATGACTTTACAATAGCGTCTCCAATTTGATCTATTGTTCAGGTGAACTTGGAGGTATTTATATTTAGTGTTGCGCCGATGCCATTTTTTGGCCCCGATACCGATACCCAATACCTGGCTGTGCAGTATCGGCTGATACTGATACCATAATAATGTAAAATAATTGCAATCATGGCTTTGTCAAGCTGCTGCCTACCTTTGTGAAGCAGGAAAAAATCTAATATGAAGTGAATCCAGTAGAACTTTTTAT